ATGTATGTATGTATGTATGTATGTGTGTATATATGTATGTATGTATGTATGTATGTTCTCTTTGTTTATATAAGAGGTGATTGTGGTCAATTTGCATAGGAAGGCAGTTATTTGTCATTTAGGATGCTTAGCATTTAATTGATGCTATTTATGCACTTGCATTCAATGAATGTGAGGATGATGACGATGGTGGTGATGATGATGATGATTGGGTTGATGATGATGATCTGAATGTTGATCATGACGATGATGACGATATAAATAATAACTTCGATGATCACAATGGCTCGAATAATGATGATCATCATTTGGCGTTGGGGACTTTGGCAACGTTACTATCATTGCTATTTCTACCGTCTAATGATGATGACCGTAACATAAGCTGTTTGTAATAGTTACTTTGCCTTGCGTTTTAAAATATTACGGCTGATGTTGCTGTGGTTGCCAAAATGTTACCTTTGATGTTATTGTGGTTGTTTTTAATGTCGTTAATGTTGTTGTCAAAACTTTATCGTTGTTGAAATGTTTTGGTGGTTGTCGTTGTTGTTGTTGTGCTTTTACAAATAAAGCACTTCTCTGCTAATAAGAAAAATACCCTTGAAAGTGGAACATTTGTGGCGAAGTTAGAAAAAATATTGACTAATAATATGATGGGGATGATGATGACGACGACGACGATGACGTGTGTTTTGATCGTTACACTTTCAAAGTCAATGCATTCAATTTATCAACAGCCATAAATCCCAACTGATCAACAATGCATGTTGTTGTGTGTTTGTTGTGTTGTGTTGGTGGCTGTGTTGTAGGATTGGTGTGCTGTTGTATAATTGTTGTGTTGTCGTGTTGTTTGATTGTTGTTTGATTGTTGTGCTGTTCTTAATTTTGTTGATATGTTTATATTTGCAGGTCAAAAGAGTTCGACTGATTTCACAAATGATTGCAGTTGAAAATTCTTCTTTATTTTATTACCGCGGCATGAATATTACAGAGAACTGATCATTATTAATTATAATCTTCAATCAAGTAGATCTGCTGCCATCAACAAATTCAAACAACATTTTGTAACTTTCGTCACGGAAAAATAAAAAGTTGAGTAAATAATGGATGAGTTAATTTCAAACCGCCACGTTAAAACGTGGTGTTGATAAAAAATTTAGAACCAACCAAACAACAACATCACCTACAACAACAACAACAACAACAACAACAACAACAACAACAACAACAACAACAACGACAGCAATTACAATGACAATAACCAACAACCATAACAACAAAACCACCAACATACGACACAGCCATCCACACCATCATTAACATTGAATTGGCAACAATCCTAGATTGTAGCTCAAAGAACAAATTACTAAACAGATTGTTGTCGTCGTTGTTTATAGTTTGTTGTTGTTTGTTGTTGCCAGTTGCTCTACATTTTTCAAGGCTTTTCTGTTTTCATCAAATTGACAGTTTTTTATTTTAATCTGTATTTGATTTGTATTTTGATTGTCAAACGTTTAACCAGTGAAGTTCATTCAAAAACGGTATCACGTTGTCAAACTTTAAACTCATCATTACTAGTTTTGCTGCCCGATTCTGAATTGACTTGATCATAGCAATTAATTTGTATTCGATCGGTGACTTTTTTATTTTCTATCAAAATAACAATAAATTTATTTTGTTATTAACTTAGTCAGTTTCAGTTTAATTTCTATTTTGAGAGTGGTTTTGAGAACTTTTTAATTAGCACTATATAACTATATTCTTAATATTATATGTATGTAGTGTGTATGTATGTGTTTGTGTGTGTGCCTAAGTGCATGTGGGAATGCGTATGCATGTGTGTATCAGTACATATGTGTTTGTGTGTATTTGTGATTGTGTGCAACTGTGCATCAGCGTGCATTGATTGTTCTGAGGTGGATGTGCTGTGTGCGTGCAGATATTTTATTGCTGTGTTGTTGACATGTGACGTTGAAATCTGCTTCCCGTATTTATTTTTAGTTTATTGTCGTCGTTGTTGTTGATGTTGTTGTCGAAGATGACGTTGTTGTTGATGATCTTGATGTTGTTGTTGCTATTGTTTTTAATGTTCATGTTGATGTTGTGTATAAATGTTGCGAATGTTCATATAGATGACAAAGTTAACTCTGTTGTTGTTGTTTCCATGATGTTGCTGTTTCTATTCATTCACCAACAATATCTCACGAACCAAACAAAAACAAATTGAAGATGGAGTCTTCTCAAAGAATGCTCGCCTCTGCCTCGATCGTCCAGCTGATGTATGGCGTGAAACAGAAAATAAAACATAACATTATGTTGAATTAAATTGCCTCTGATGCCTATAAATCTGCAGCTTGGACCTTACAAATAGCGGCTGATAAGACGTAAGAAGGTAGGAGCGCGCGTTAATCTGCATACTTGAACACGCTGAACAGATGCAGCATCTTTAAATTTTAAATTTCACTTTCCTATAAAGAGTAGTTCTTAGTTAATTAGTTATTGCTATCATATTTGAAGTTGCAAAGGTGAAAGTTAAACTATTGAAAAAAAATAAAAGTTTTTAATTTCAACGTCATAAAACTGAAAATTGTTTCATTTTGAATATACAAACATGTAGAAATATTTCAATGCCCAACACAATTTGAAGCACGGTTTTATTATGTGATGGATGACAAATCTGAAGATAAATTGCTTTGCTAGAATAGAAAATATTTTATCAAAGATGGATTACAGACAGATTAATGGTCACTATTTTAGGCAATCAAATGCGAATTTAATAAATATTTCAACGTGGACAGCGCTATTGTATGTATGTGTGTGTGTGTGTATATATATATATATATATATATATATATATATATATATATATATATATATATATATTATTTATATATATATATAAATTTTGTTTACTTGTTTACGGTATTTTTAAAATTTTGTTAATTATTAATTTATTTAGCCAATTAATTCTTTCTTATCTAAATACTTTCTTTAGTTTTTTAAATTTTAAAAATATAGATCGTAAATCAACATAAATCATAATAACGAATTGATTCAGAAGGAATGCAGACAATACAAATTGAAATGTTTTGACGAGAGTGCGTACTTTTAAGTTGCATCTGATTTCATGAGACACAAAATCTTCAGAACCATCGAAGTGCACAGGCTTCACTTAGATGACCTGGCTGGCTGGCTGGCTTGGCTGGCTCGGTTGTTGGAAGAGAGGTTGTTACAACAACGTTGTGTCCTTGTTTGAGAGCGAAAACAATTTTAGAGAATGTGTATAAATGTATTTATCGACAAAAGTTCGCCTGTGAACATTTTGTTTTTGTCGTTTTGAGTCTTTTCAGAATGTTATCACACAACAGCGAGCATTTAACGGTTCTTATTGTTTTAAAAGCGTTATAAGTAGTTTTTTGTCATCTAAAAAAAGTTTATTTTATACGAACAGCCTCTAAATGTGATAGGATTTTATTCATTTAATTTGACCAGCAGTTGAAACAAAAATTTCAAAATAGTTTGAATTTATTTAAAGTAGTTCAAACTTTTATTTAATAAGAGCGCAAATAAGTCGTTAAGTAACAGTCAATATTAAAAAGGCGACCAGACGACAATAAAATAACAAACCCAAAAATAGGTTGCAACGATTTCGCAAGCACACAAGGAGCAGAGCACAGCACATGTATTGATACATCAACACAATCCACATCAACACACGTCCACGCACACACGACGCACAGTCAAACGAACGATTGTAGCCATCAATTATAATCAACGTTCAACTTTGAACGGTGACTTGTATCTATACGGAAATTCCATTTTAATCCGAGACAAGCGGAAGTTCACAACTGATTTCGGTAGGGATGGGACATTTTTTTAAATGTTTGCATTATTTATTTTTGCACGAGTCATTCACCAAATATTATGTAAAACTTGAAAAATTTTCAAAAATATTTTTGCAAAAATTTATTCTGCTCCACCGTCTGATAGTTTCAAGTCTGTTTGTATCTGCAAACACTCCAGCGTATCACATCACATTCTACATCCACATACAACATTTACGTTAAGGTTGGAACTTTGAAATGATCATACACTTGCGCACTACACATCCACAAAAACAAACACACTCACACAAACTTATCCACACACACACACTCATACAAACTTATCCACACACACACACACACAGACTTCCACACAAATACATCCACACACACGAACACAAACACATCCACTTAAAAACAAACAATAAGCCTCCCTCGTCTTAAACATCCTGACATGAAAGTCCCTTCAAGTAGCAAAAATAACAATAACAAGTTGGGACAAATATTGATTGGCCTGCGTGTCACATTCGCTCATGACTTCTAACAAGGTAAGTTACAATAGTATGTAAGTTATGTATAACATTTAAATTGAACCTTCATCACAAAGCATTATTCGTTTGGCTACGACAGAGTTAGTTCATCTCGTGAATTGTTCACAGGATTTTATGATTTGATTCGTCTGAAAACAATAAAAACGCCAAAAAATTGTTGCAAAATGAAAGTAGGATGTTGTGTGTGGCTCAATTGATTGGACAGCCAGCCTAACGATCCAGATTATTCTTCTTTTCATCAGATTGTTGATCGATGCGGAGCACGCATTTGCTCAGACGATGAGATAAGAGTTCATGCAAGACCCGCACACAAACTTTTTATTACTTCTACACGTTCCTCACTCTTTTTCTACATATTCCACATTTTTCAGACTGCGTACTGTACGCATGCAGACGACTCAAACATTTCCCGGAATGAACACAGAATTGAGTCAGAATTATCGAAGACGTCGGTAACGAACTTAAAAATATATTAAATTGGTTCATATCCAAGAAACTAACAATAAACAAAACTAAAAATCAGTTGATGGTATTCGGACCTGTCCAATTCTTAAACTATAAGGAACCGTACAAAATTGCGATTGACTACGTAAGTATAAGTGAAGCTAAAGTCTGCAAATTCCTGGAAATGTACCTAGATCAGAAATTAACATTTGTACCTCACATAAAAAATGTTGCTTCAAAGTTCGCCGAAGGCCTGGGCTTAATCAACAAATACAAATTTTATCTTCCCGCAGAAAGTCGTACGTTGCTCTACAATGCATTATGTCTGCCATATGTAAACTATTGTAATTTAGTTTGGGCTTCAACGTATAAATCCAACACTAAAGCAATTTCCCAACTTGTGAATGTGAAAATGGCAGTAAAAATGCTCTCAGACAGCTACCTTCACTCAAAAAATTCAAGAAATGTTTCTTCACAACAAAATCTCATCTTCTCTTACACGCAATAACATGCTTGCTTACCTTACAGGAATTTTCTAAACGGTCTTCTTCCGCATGCATTCGTTGATTCTTCCAAATACCAAAAAGCTAGAGAAAGACGACAAAAAAACTGTCTTGTTTTAGAACCACATTTCGTGCTTGTTGCAACGGTTCCTGCGTGTCTGTGTGATTGAAAATATCCAACTGAATGCCGACATGTGCAATTAACGACAAATCAAAGTGTTAATCCATTTGTTACTTGATGTTTGACGGTTCAGTGTCACTCATCATGTTTTGGTTTTAACATACATACATACATACATACATACATACATACATACATACATACATACATACATACATACATACATACACACACACATACATACAAACATACATACATACATACATACATACATACATACATACATAGATACACACATACATACATACACACACACACACACACACACATACATACATACATACACACATACATACATACATACAACATACATACATACATACAACATACATACATGAAATGAAATGATCTTTTCAACAACAATTTCAAATAAATGGAAAAAATTGTATGTATGTATGTATGTATGTATGTATGTATGAAAAACCTGAATCCGGTGCATCCCTAGTATGTATGTATGTTAAAACCAAAACATGATGAGTGACACTGAACCGTCAAACATCAAGTAACAAATGGATTAACACTTTGATTTGTCGTTAAATGCACACTTCGGCATTCAGTTGGATATTTTCAATCACACAGACACGCAGGAACCGCTGCAACAAGCACGAAATGTGGTTAGTTGCGAAAAAGGGTCCCTGCTGTCGCCTGATCTGGCGCTGATCATTTTACATATTGCCTTAAGAAATTTAAGGGTGTTTGGGTCCATCGGGCCGAGAACCTTGATACATATTGGCAAGAATTCCATCGAGGGGAGGGCGTTCCCATATTTTTTCATTTTCTCGTCCGCTGCCCTGGCCGCGGCCAAACCGCATTTTTTACGTGTCAGGTTTACATATCGTTCGGCAAAGGTGCCAGGGACCGTAACATTCCACGCCTACCACCATGCGCAGAAATGCCGGATGGTTCCTTGAGAACTGGGATTGAAGCCTTGGAGAAGAGGCGACAAATGTAGACGTTTAATGCTAAGTGACGTAGTTGACGGCCCCCACCCAGACGACAAACCAAACCGTGGTGCCCAAACTCGTGTATGTATGTATGTATGTATGTATGTATGTATGTATGTATGTATGTTTGTATGTATGTATGTATGTATGTATGTATGTATGTATACTTGTACACTTATAGTCAGAATATTCATTTAAACGGATAAAGATGAATAGCTCTTGCAAGATGAATAGCATCTTATAAAAAGGCAAGTGTGGATGAGTTACAGCAACAGACTAAGTTTTTGAATGTACAGTTATTAATTAAAATTATATATATATATATATCTCATTAATGCCACGAAATATATATATATATATATATATATATATATATGTATTTAAATATATATATATATGTGTGTATAAATATGTATATGTATGTATATTTCTGTATATGTATGTATATATGTATATATATATATGTATGTATATGTATATGTATGTATATATGTATATGTATGTAAATACATGTATGTGTGTATACGTTAGCATCATGCAAGTCGATAAGTCAATAAACAAGAACAAAATGAATGAACTTATAAATTTATGAATAGATACACACACATACGCACATACATACACACACAAATGTATATATATATATATATATATATATATATATATATATATATATATACAATTTTTAATTCATAACATAACTTTATTAGATTTAACCTAATGAATCATCTAGAACAATGGCTTATTTTTTTTATTATTATCTAAACGTGTCTTCAGACCAAAACTTTGAACCAAGCAATGTCTTGTTCCATGTTTTGCAATTTTTACAAACAAACAGTTGCACACTATTCAGAAAATTTAAAGGTAGTATAAAACTGGAAACATGAACGTTGCATATTGTTGAATCAACTTACACGTGCCTCTAACACAAACAACAAATGTAAAAAGGCGGAACGTTGTGCACTGTCTTAGAACACGACATGAAGTTATAAATAATATCTTTCTCCAAAGAAGATTTCATCGCGGTGCCTCAAAAACAACACAACTTAGCAGCAGAGAAGACACATTCATCAAATATTTACACTGGTTCTCCCTTCTCTCAAACAACTAACAAAGACTGTTACCTAGTTTGTCTATTTTTCAAACTATTTTTAATGTTTTATTCTGTTGGACTGCATAATTAAAATTGAGAAATGAGATCTATGATGGGATAACAATTCATTCATGGTGGCATTTCATTCCTCGGTTGATGTAAAATTTCCTAAAAGTGACACAATTTGAAATTTTTTTTAACAAAATTGTCATAGTCAAGGTTTATTTTCCATCTAACAGTTTTATCTCTTGTAGCGTGTAGCGAACGCCAACTACAGATAACAAACAAACAATGCGGTTGTGTAATTGTAGGCTGCAAAATTGTTTCGAAGTATTATTTCAACAATAAAATTGTTAATAGTTCATTTATTTCACTATTTCAAAATTTATTCACTTGTTCAAAGTTCGCATGCGCTTGTTTAAATGGACCAAAAATGTGGATATATGATTTCTAAGTGTGCTTGTGCGTGTATTTGTTCGTGTGTTTGCGCGTGTGTTCTTGTATGTGTATATGGATGTACGCGTGTGTTTGTGCACGTGTGAATGAGTGTGTGTGTGTTCGTGTACGCGTGAACGGATGTGTGTGCGTGCTTGTGTTCGTGTTGTACTGGCTAGGTAGTAGATTATTTTTCTCATCCAAATTTTCACGTTACAAAACATTGGAATGTGGATGATTAAATTTCAAGTGATCGTTCATTTCACCATTCAACGTATTGGTATACACATTTTTTAATTTAAAAAACATTTTCATAATTATTTACTCTGCAGCTGAAATTTGCAAAAACGCATCATAATCGTATTAATGAAAACCCTTCAGAGAGGTGTGTTTATCCAAGAAGAGCTTTGTACTACCCAACAATAAATGTTTCTTAGCGGGTCTAGGAAAAATTTAACATTATCACAAATTGTCGTTATTTTTAAAAAATATTGCATCTAATTTGTGAAGAAAATTTTGGTTGATGAAAAATTGAACCTTGAGAATATAGAATGTTCGCCTTTTCTCTAAACACCCACGTGTATACTGTAGTGTATTGATCATTTCTGTCTAAGCCACTAACAATTCAAATCCCATTTATAAATCAGGAAACATCATTACAACAAATTCATAATTAAGAAACAACATCACATCGTATCGCATTCATATTTCTAAAAATTTTTATTCAAAGTAGTTCAAAGAGACCAACCACCACCCAACATCTGCTTTCTTATCGCACAAAAGAATTTTAACGAGCTCGATGTGATGAGGTTCTGCGGGTGCAATCCATTTGAAAGGCAGGCATGCACCGAGGTGAATGAAAGACGAACTTAACAGTTAGCACGCAGTCATCTCTTAGTCATGTTACAATAAACAACGCTGCAAAGTGAACTTGTGTACGTACTTTAAAGCACGCGAGATGTTGGTTCGTTTGATTTTTTGGCTAAATTCTAAGCTGCATACAATCGAATGTGCAAGCAAGTAGCAGAGTAAACAACCCAGCTGTCACTGGAACTGATGAGTTCAGAAAGTTAACTCAAGTTAACAACAACCAAAAGTTAATTCAGGATTCGACTCTACGGTTGCAAAAACATTATTTAATTGAATTTATTAAACGCTGACGTACACACCCCTAGATATGCACACAACACACGCAAATTCATACTCACAATTATAAACATACACATAACTTTACACACACATCCAATCTTAGAAATTCCCATGCGCAAAATCACACTCAGAAATATATAAACATGTAAACGCATATACGCACATACACACATATACACAAGTATAGACACACACGCGCGCACGCACACACACAGACGGACACGTGAAGAAAACTCTGAATTTCTTGGAATCTCCTGGCAACTTACAAACGATGAATACTTCACCGCAGTGGAAACAATGAGCTATTGAGTGAACGAAAGTAACGAATGAATGAATGACTAAATGATTGAGTGAATGAACGATTGAATGAATAAACCAATGAATGAAAGACCAAATGGATGAACTTTTGATTGTACAAGCAATTTATGTGAATAACGAACAATAAAAGTAAAAAGTGATTGAAAAATACGATCAGAAGTTAAAAAAGAATAAAATTCAAAAACTTAATTTAAAAAATGGTAACCAATGGTAAACTGAAAATTAAGAATTCATTTAAATACTTTGAAAATTAATTAAAAAATAGCAAACGAACAAGGAAATGGATGAATAGAGCAACATGCAAACAAAAGGCAAACGAAAGCAAATTGTCAAATCTAATGAGCACTGATGCCATTTAGAAATGTCAACCCTCTCAACTTTCCCGACACAGTCCAAAAATTAACCACCTTGATAACAAAACGAGACTTGCGAATGTTCTTGCAGCAGGTGAGTAGACAACGATGATGAAAGTGACGATGAAGGTGATGATGAAGGTAAAGATGGCAATGATAGAGAGAGAAAAAGAAGATGTTGATGATAATGAATTTGATGTGCCAATGATGCTGTTTGTGAGTGTTATCAGAAAAACAAAAAAAAATTAACTCACGATTCATTTGCTTGTCAGACTTGAGACGTGTTGTCGAACGTATGTGGCTGAAAGATGATGACGATGATGACAATATCGGTACTAAGGATGAGATGAAACAAAGTAATAGCATCATTCGGTAAGGCGTATCCATTTCAACTCCAGCGTAAAAGTATCCGTGCCACGTAAATTAGTCAGCAACAGTCTTCTTTCTGAGTAATGGCAATGGAGTTGTTTGCGATTTTGAAAATGTTTGTTGGGAAATGAAAAACTAAAAAAGAGGCAGTTATATCTCGTTCAATAAGAAATTGTTTCAATTGTTTCCTTTCTTCGTTGAAGCAGTTTATAATAGGTAGACATCATGTGATTCATTGTTCATTTGCTCTGACAAAAGTATTCCCATCAATAATTATTATTCTTTATAGTAGTTGGTTGTTCAGAGACATTTTGTAAAACGTTAGTCTGGCAGTGTTCACAACTGTGCATTCATTCTTCAGGCTGATTGTTTGGCTCGCTCGTGTTCAGCCACTTTCCTCAAAACTGAAGAGATTGTTCGTCCTTTATGTTATTATTATTATTTGTTACTATTATTTAATAACAAGTAAACATATATTAAGTTTTATTTTTCAAATAACGTTCATTTACAAATTTACAACTTTTCTTTAAAGTAAAACAACTTAAAATTGCTAGTTTACACAATACAAAAAATTAATTGTTTAAAATGAATGTAAAAAATGAAGAAGAAACGAACGAGCAAGCGAGCATTCAAACAAACGAACATATGAACGAACATATGATGAACAAACAAACGAACGTATGACGAACTAACGAACGAACATACGATGTACAAACGAACGTACGTATGATGAACAAACGAATAACACGGTACCATACACTCATTAGATTGTAGATGGAACAAGTGCGCGTGCATGCTTGTAAGCTTATAAAGACTTAAGTTATACATGCAATAGACTGATCGTAATGTTCGTCTGTGAAGAAATCTTTCTCTACGACGATGTGTGCCTACAATTTCTGTTATTGAATCTGCAACGTAACTGTTCATGTGCAACATGACCAAACCTGCTACGGTGCCGTGTAACTAACTCATTACTTATTTCATGTAATGTTATTTGTTTCTTTGTACTATGTTCCTTGTTGTTTTTTTTGCATACATTTATAAATGTTCGGTTGTTTTTCAGATAAAACTAAATACCAAATTCATACATATTCCTAGATTATATATATATATATATATATATATATATATATATATATATATATATATATATATATATATATATACATTATATATATTTTGGTAACAGACTATTGTTAACGCAACATTTCAAAAATTCAACACTACTTTCAACATTGTTCAACTTTTTCATATTTCATTTTAATTTATTAATTTCCGAGAAATTAGACATTTTATTGTTTTTTTTTTAAATTTTTATTAAATAAATTTGCAAATAGCTATTTCGAGTTATAAATAACTCATCTTCAGTGCATTATATATAAGGTATGTAAGATATTTGATATAAAGGAACAAGTAATTATTAATTTATATAAATTATTTAATTAAAACAGAAAACCAATAAAGTAAATTTAATAACTATAAACAATATAAAACGCGATTTTTAAAATTTTTTAAAATTTTTAACGGCAAGATTGTTTATATTATGATTGTTAAGGTAAATATCAACGCTCAGCCGAGAAGCGCGAATTAATTTATTTAAATAACTACATATTATTATTATTATTTTGACAATATTTAAAAACATTATTATTATTATTATTGT